CTCCCTTCGAAAAAAAAAGAAATAAAATGTGAGTTCGCGAGGAAGTACGGATTAGGATCCTCTTATTCCGAGCCACTTCGTAGATTGGGATAATGAGCCCGGGAAACCGGTTTAGGAAACTCGAGGAAACCCCTCGAGGTTAAACCTAGATCATCTCGTCCGGAAACTTCGTTTGGAAAAAGAAGCTCACGAGAATGAGTTCGTGAGAGTCGAAAGGATTAGGCTCCTCTTGGCTCGGTTAGTCTTCTAGATAAACCGTGTTAAGGAGTACGGGAAACCGACCTAGAAAACTCGGGAATAACCCCCGAGGATAAACCTAGGTAATAATTGTCCTAACGGCTCTCATTTGGAAAAAAAAAAAATAGCTCATAATAATATAAGAAAAAGAAAAAATAAAAGAAAAAAAATGAAATGAGGAGTTGGCTTATTGGTCTTGTGCTTATTCATTTCATATTTGGTAGACCATTTATAGTTTTTGCACGTGTATGTAGACAAGGGAGTTTAAATCGAGTAATCATGTGTAGAATAACTCGGGACATGTTTTTTTGTTGTATAGATTCGCCATGTGGGGACCATGTTTTCGGATTGGATTTTGGTTTTAGGGATAACCGGATGATAATGAGAGTTTCATTTCGCATGTTCGTTAATTTTGGACCGTTCGATTTTTTTTTCGAGCTACTTGTTGTTTTATTTGCTTGAGGACAAGCAAAGATTTAAGTGTGGGGGAGTTGCTTATTGTGTTTTTGTGTTTATTTTCGTGTGATTTATGTGTTTTAGATTAGTGTTTTTAGGTTCATTTTAGTGTCGACCGGTCCATTTTATAGTGTTTTGTGCATTTTTATTCTCGTATTGTGTTTTTGTGGTTCGGCGTATTTTTCTTGTCTTTCTGGTGTTGAATAGGTCCATCATTACTATGCTTGGAGAAACGAGCCATTTCCAATATATTTTCGAGCCGTCCAAACCATGTCCGAGCCACGCGAACCATTTCCGAGTCGTTCCGAGCATACTTATTAAGTGTGGTGATATTGATTTGCGCTTCTCAAGACGAAGAGAACGAGATTTGGGAAGCATGGGTCAAAGTTTCAACTCAAACGAATAAGTGTGCAAGAAATTAGAGCATTTTGAAGTCGTTCCATAGTCATCGAGACAAAATTCCGAGTCCAGCACCAGCCCTCAGGCACCAAATTCCGCGGGCGCGATATCCTATTCGCGAGCTACACCAAACTCACGAGCTAGGTCCAGCTTCAGAGCACAAAATTCGATCCCTCTAAATCCATGGCCTATCCCGCGAAATGCCCGCAACCCGCGAGTTCCCTTCTGCTAGCGAAAACAGCCCGCGAGTTTACTACCCTATCCCGAGAAAAGGCTGTAACCCGCGAGTTCGGCAAGAGCATGTCCAGAGGAGAAATTTCGAGCCCGCGAAGACGTTGCTCTATCCCGCGAGTTGCCTCTAACTTGCGAAATCAAGCCGGAGACCAATCCTGCGAGTTCTACTTTCCTTGCGAGTTTTTCTCAGTAAGTGTGTGTGTTTTTAGTGTGTGTTTGTGGTGTAGCTATAAATAGACATCTTGCTTTATATTTTTGGAAAAATCTTCATTTGCTAAATTTTTCTCTTCTTAGTTTTTCTCTCTCTTCTCCCTAACTTCTTTCTCTCTCTAAGGGCTCCAAGACCTTATTTTTAATTGTAATATTTCTCCATCAAGATTACAACTTTTCGGCTTATTTCTTCTCGTGGATGCACTAGAGACTTGGAGACTTCGTTTAAGGTTCATGATTTCGTAAGTCTTGCTCGTCTTTGCTTATTGGATTTATTATAGGGTTAAGATTGACACATCCATGAGTCGATTATGCTAT